ACCACAGAGGGAAAGAGTCTGAAATTTAAACCACAGAAAGGAACAAGAATTTAAAAAATAAAACAACTTTCAGAAAAATAAATCAGAATCCAAAGTTGTCCCAATATGTTAACTAGATTTTCCAGTTTTCCACAACAACAAAAATACAAGATAGCAAAGTGTGACCCATAACCAGGGGGGCATGGGGGGGCGGGGCGTGGGGAGAAGCAGTCAACAGAAACTAACTCTGAATGGGTCCAGATGTTGAACTTGGCAGAGATTTCAAAGCAGCTGTTACAAGTGTGTTTAAAGAAGCAAAGGAAACTATGTCAAAAACTAAAGAAAACTATGATGACAATGACTCAATCAATAGAGAATCTAAATAGGAAAAAAAAAAGCCATAAAAAAGAGCCAAGGAGAAATTCTAAAGTGGAAAATACAATAATTGAAGTAAAATAGTCATTAGATGGTCTCAGGATCAGAGTTGACATGGTGGAGGAAAGAACAGTAAACTCAAAGACATGTCAATAGGAATTATTAAGTTTGGAGAATAGAAAAAAAAATCAACAGAAAATGATCAGCGCCCCCAGAGACCTGTGGGATACCATCATATCTGTAATGGGAGTTCCAGAAGGAGAGGAAAACGAGAAAGTGGGAGAAAAAAATATGTTAAAAGACAATGGCTGAAAATGTTCTACAGTTGATAACAAGCATTAATCTACAGATCCAAGAAGTTCAATGAATTCCAAGTAGGAGAAACACAAAGAAATCCATATCTAGACACATAATAGTCAAATTGCTGAAAGGTAAACAAAAATAGAAAAGATTCCATAAGAGCCGTAGCTGGTTTGGCTCAGGGGATGGAACGTCGGCCTGTGGACTGAAGGGTCCCAGATTTGATCCCAGGCAAGGGCACCTGCCCAGATTGCGAACTCGATCCCCAATGGAGGGGCGTGCAGGAGGTAGCCGATCCATGATTCTCTCTCATCAGTGATGTTTCTCTCTCTCGCTCCCTTTCCCTTCCTCTCTGAAATCAATTAAAAGGTATATTTTGTAAAAAAATTAACTGTTAAGGTATT